GTTACATTTATTGTGTCATGTCCAAATGTGCATTGCTTGGCTTGCTGAGGTAATATTTGCTGAGTAATGATTGACCCAGGTGTCCCGTGATCCTCATTAAACCAAAAGAATAGGCTTGCAGTCTTTTCTTTCTGACCCATAAACTTCAGGCTGTTTTATGGTGTTGCAGATACTGAAGCAAAGCTGTAATGAACTGGATTATTATTATTATCCAGAATTAGTGTCTTAATCGCATGTTTCATGCTTCCAGTGTTAGAGGATTATTAAGTTTATATTTAGAAGTATTTGTTTATGATTGCAGACACAATTTTAAGAGTTGTATAATGTTTGAATATCTTCAAATAACACTATATAGTATAGTACTTACCAAAAACCAGTGGTAAATGCGACAATGTTTACCACTTCAGCACCTGTTCTCAGTTGCAACAAAGTCAGGAGCCAACCTGTAGTTTAGAGAATGTGTGTCACAGTAATGAAGTTCTCTTCTAGTTCTTCTGCTAATTAAGCCCTCAGTAGATGTGCAGCTGTCATTACTTAATCCAGCAGCAGTATTGGCTGCTGTTTATCCATTACAGTTTGTCTGTAATGTCAAAGTTCTTTCATTTCCTCAGGGGTTCTGCCATTGCCAAGATAGTGGGCGCCAATGCAGCAAAATACAACACGTTTGAAAACACAGTGAACATGTGGGTGTTTGAGGAGATGGTCAACGGACGCAAGCTCACCGAAATCATCAACACCGAACACGAGAATGTAAAATACTTGCCTGGACACAAGCTGCCGCCCAATGTGGTGAGAACACAAAGCATCTAGAATCCTTGAACTCTTTAACCATTATTGCCAATTACTTGTTAACAACGGTAAATTTAGTGCTGCAGTGGAAATTTAGAAATTAAGCAGTGAAGTTATGATGTAAAGAAGCACATCCTTGCTTACCAATCTTGAAACTCATAGAAAAGAGTGTGAACGTGGTGTTTGATATAAGAAAAGTGTAATAAATCCAGTGATAAATGGCTGTTTTTCTTTAGGTGGCGGTTCCAGATCTGTTGGACGCGGTAAAGGGTGCAGATATTCTCATTTTCGTCATCCCTCACCAATTTGTGTCCCGAATCTGTGACACCATCAAGGGTCACATCAAGATGGACGCTGTGGGAATGTCCCTCATTAAGGTTTCCTCATATGCATTTTTTTATTTTATGTAGTTATGTTTCAGTTTGTATCTGGCCCTGCAGCACTGTTATACCACTTTGTTTGTTTCGTAAGGGTGTGGATGAGGGTCCTGACGGACTGAAACTGATCTCTGATGTCATTAGGGAAAAACTTGGCATCATCATGACCGTGCTGATGGGAGCCAATCTGGCCAATGAGGTTGCTGATGAGAAATTCTGTGAAACTACGATTGGTAAGTACACAAAAATGGAAATATTACTTTTGGTAATGACAGCAGGAAAATGTGCCCATATATGCCACTGTAACTATATACAGCCACTATATTTCTTCAAATAATTATAATCTTGTGTTTAGGGTGTAAAAGCAAAGCTCACGGACCCCTGCTGAAGGAAATGATGCAAACACAAAACTTCCGTGTGACGGTGGTGGAGGAGGCTGACGTTGTGGAGATCTGTGGGGCGTTAAAGGTAAACAATTATCCATTCATTTTCATTCAGTTTCTGAAGCATTTAGCTGAATAAAAGTCAAGAAGTAATGGATTTTATTGTAGAACATTGTCGCAGTGGGCGCTGGTTTCTGTGACGGTCTGGAGTTCGGTGACAACACCAAGGCCGCCGTGATCCGTTTGGGTTTGATGGAGATGATCGCCTTTGCTCGGATATTCTGCACGGCCAGTCCGGTCTCTCCCGCCACGTTTCTGGAGAGCTGCGGCGTCGCCGACCTCATCACCACCTGCTACGGAGGACGCAACCGCAAAATCGGAGAAGCGTTCGCTAGAACGGGGAAAGTATGTTTGGTCCTTAGGATTAAAAGTTACATTATTTTTCAGTGTTCATGTGCATCTCTAAATATTTGTTTGTTGTCAGTCTATCGAGGAGCTTGAGAAGGAACTGCTGAACGGCCAGAAACTTCAAGGTCCAGCAACTGCAGCGGAAGTTCATCAGATCCTCAAACACAAAAACCTGGTGGAAAAGTAACTATCTTTGTGCTCTTCACAATCAGTGCTGGGTAGTAAGATTATCTTATTTAAAGGGATCATATGATGCTGCTAAAAAGAACATTATTTTGTGTATTTGGTGTAATGAAATGTGTTTATGCGGTTTAAGGTTCAAAAAACACATTATTTTCCACATACTGTACATTATTGTTGCTCCTCTATGCCCCACCTTTCTGAAACGCGTCGATTTTTACAAAGCTCATCGGTCTGAAAAGCGAGGTGTGCTCTGATTGGCCAGCTATCCAGTGCGTTGTGATTGGCCGAATACCTCAAGCGTGTGACAGAAATGTTACGCCCCTCACCATACTGTGATGCCCTGTCCGGCCGGAGCGACGAGACAAAAACATTAAAACCCATTATAAACGAGGCATTTGTTGCATCCAGTGGGGACATAATTATGGATTATAATGACTCACTGTCTTTTTACGCATTGCATCGCGCCGCGTAAACATGAAACCCTGTGCATTTTTGTGATCGGAGAAACGACAAACAACAAGCACTACTCTACACTGCCCAAAAAACTCGCTTTAAATATATAAAATATAAAAACGCTTTAAATATTGGAAGGCCAAACAAAGTAGTTTCGCTTTCACAACGAAACACAGCGTCACACGGCGGGCTTGAGTGAGCAGAGGCGGGCGGGCATGAGAACGGCACGGCTGGCGGATTAGACGAAGGAGCGTCCGGTGGGCTTGCGGCAACCACATGTGACGACCCCGGGCTGGACTCCGCTTCATCCACGGTGAAAGCATCAGTTGATGTATTTCCTCAGCGACCAGCACAGATCAGCTCTAGGCATAACGAAGCGGATATCATCCTCTTTTGGAAG